TACTCCAGAAGCCGGTACTCCAGCTGCATTGTCCAGTGTGCATTGCATACCTGACTTCTGTCTGTCTACCTACCTGCCTTACCAGTCACGCGGGTGGAGCCCACCCAAGATCCAGAGGCGCGCCCCCCCTCCCCTCTGCTACACTGAAGTATACCGGCCGCTGCTCTGATATCACCTTCCCTTCTTAAAATATACTTCCCGCCCAGCCCTCTTCCACACCAAACCAAACCAACCCGCCCAGCTCCACGATTCCACGATTCGCGCACCCCGAACCGGTTCAATCCCACTGCCGACCCGACAAACTTACGACTTACACTTCAATCTCAACCTCTAAATTGTCCTGCCTGCCCACCACCCTCGCCTGCACGACTGACCCCGAACACCCCTTCTACCACGCGCCAAATTCCTAATGTTTCGGTCTCGCAAGGGATCGAAAGCATTCGGCTTTGGAAGCTCAGGCAGCACCAAGGACGGCCACAGCAACCACCATCTTGACTTTGGAATCGTGAGCCCCAAGGCGGTAAAGGACCCTTATCGTCCTGGAACCGCCACCACTACGAGATCGAACAACACCTGGACAGATTGGACGGATGCACAACCTTCTTTCCCTGAAAAGAGTACGTGGGCCCCTCCTCAACGCCGACTTCAGACCGTTCCGAGCGCAGTGCATTGCGCAGCCATCTCAATTGAGAGAATTTGACGTGCTGTCAACGCTGCGCTCCTCTCCCCGTGCTTTCAAACTCTCTGCGCAAACTTTCGCTGACAGCTCTTCCTCACAGACGTCTCAATAGCCGCAGGTACCATTCGCGGGCAGGCTCACAGACCCGAGACAGCAACCAGCAACTCGGAGGCTCATCGAAGAGGCGACAGCTACTCCTCCAGCACCATGGCATCCGGCGCCGGTCGCAATCGGAGGGAGCGCACCTTCGTAGGGAGCGAGTGCGCCGTCTGCGAGGAGCCGCTCGAGCACACCCTGCGTGGAGAGCGCATCTTGCAGTTCTCCTGCTCTCACGTGTCGCACGAGGCATGCTTTTATGAGTTCATCCGCGAGTTCGAGTCGCAGTACTGCCCCTCCTGCGATGCGCCGCTGCATCTCGACACTAGCAGGGGCGGCAATGTCTTGGATATCGGTAAGCGCTTTGGCCTGTCCTTTGTCTGAGACAATGAATGCTAATCTTCAACTCGCCAGAGAAAATCAGCAACCTCGTTCGATCTGTCTCATCTACCGACACTAGATCAAACCACACCCCTACGCCGACGGCCCAGCCCTGGGAAAACCCGACACCGACGCCGCAGCGCCCCACCAGCATCGAGTCGAATCAGCGCAACATGCCCAGCACGCACACTCGCGAAAGCCTGCCAAGGAGTACCGGGCGCGAGAGAGAAAGCAGTCAGCCACCTACCTCAGAACGGTACGGCCCCTCGAGACATGCGCGTAGCGACAGTGAGGCCACCGGGGCCACCGGCGTCGCCTCATCCGGAGGATACCCTGAGACGACGCAGAGCGGCCCGCCACGGAGACACGACTATGACGTCCAGGCAATGGAGACCACACCAGGCAGCCCGCGCGCCATCACGAGAAACCCGATACCCGCTCCGACAGTCACGGTGCGATCCGAGTTCCCCACCATCAACAGGTCTCGAACGCAGCAGACATTGACCTGCTTGATCACCGTCGAAGTGCCCGACAACAAATGGCGACCAGATCCCGAAGACTTGGGATCTGCCCCTCCTGGGCCTCCAGCCGTGAATGCGAGAATCGACGAGGCGTTTGCCAGGCCACCATCTCCCGCCCGCAGCGCGCCGCGTTTTTACCCCTACGAGTCACGCGAAGTGCTCGAGGAAATGACGGAGAATCTCAGAAACCGGGTCGACAACTGGCATGGGCTCGATTTCAGCAGGTGAGATTATCGAGCGACTCGCGCTGGCCAATTAGAGTACTGACAACCACCAGATTCGGCAAACTGCGCCTATATGGCACGCTACGTGTCGGCAAGGATAAGGCGTCCTGGCAGGAGCTGGAATGCTTCCTGTTCGCTGAGATGTTGATCTGCGTGAAGGAGAAGAAGGTGCCCGTGCCGGGGCAGTGGGACGAGAACGGAATGCCCAAGAAGGCCACCAAGTGCACACTGAAAGGATCCATTCTCATCAAGAAGCACCTCAACGAGGTCTCGGAAACGGGTAATAGTGAGTGCCCCTCATGTTGGCAAAGGATCTGGCGCTAATCAATCAATAGTCGATGAGAACGTCCTCACGCTAAACCTCTCGGTGGCCGAGCTGCCGCAGTTCCATCTGCGGTTTGAGAACCGCAACCAGCTGAAGCTGTGGCACCAGGCCCTGCTCGACCTGAACGCCGTTGAAACCTCGCCTGTCCGCAGCCCGGAATACGACCGCGGCGAGTTCTCGGAGACGGAGGAGGAAGAATGGCAGCGCGGATCACGACAGCAGAGAGTTTCGTCGGTCGCCTCATCATGGGGCGGAGCCAAGTCCGTCACCACTGCGCCGACAGAGTACACCAACTTCCAGAGGAGCCCGACGATGCCCGCATCTGTTCACGTGCCCATCGACGTGGTTGTCGTCGTGCCCATCTCGTCCTCCATGCAGGGCGTCAAGATCAACCTGGTCCGAGATGCGCTCAAGTTCATGGTCAACACCCTTGGCGAGCGGGACAGAATGGGTCTCGTCACTTTTGGCTCTGGCGGCGGCGGCGTGCCCATCGTGGGCATGACGACCAAGGCCTGGCCTGGCTGGAGCAACGTCCTCGGTTCAATCAAGCCGGTCGGCCAGAAGAGCCACCGCGCCGACGTGGTCGAGGGCGCCAATGTCGCCATGGACCTGCTGATGCAACGCAAGTACAACAACCCGATCGCCACCATCATGCTCATCAGCGACGCATCGACTTCCGACGCAGACAGCGTCGACTTTGTCGTGTCGCGTGCTGAGGCCGCAAAGATCACCATCCACTCTTTCGGCCTGGGCATGACTCACAAGCCCGACACGATGATTGAGCTTTCGACTCGCACCAAGGCGTCATACACTTACGTCAAGGACTGGATGATGCTCCGCGAGTGTCTTGCCGGCTGCCTTGGCTCTATGCAAACTCTCTCTCACCAGAATGTGAAGCTCAAGCTCAAGCTACCGGAAGGATCGCCCGCCAAGTTCCACAAGATCTCTGGTGCCTTGCAGATTACCAAGCGGGCTACTGGACGCGACGCTGAGGCCTCTCTGGGCGATCTTAGGTTCGGCGACAAGCGTGATGTCCTAGTGCAACTCGTCATCGTGCCAGACAACACGTCGCAAGAGCAGCTCCCGCAAGACCCCTGGGACAATATTGTCTCTGGATTGGAGGCTCTGGGCGGCGCCGCGGACGGAGACGACCAACGCATCACTTCCGTCGAAGAGGTACCGCTTATCCAGGCGGACCTCACCTGGGGAGACATCTTGAGAGATGGCACTCTCTCGCATCTCCCCCGCCCTTCTCTGCTCGCAATCACTATGCTCCCTGCTCAGGCAAAGCGAAAGGAATCGTGGGCAAACTCGCCCCCCATCCCCCCTCACCCGCATATCGTCCAGCGGCGCATGGAGCTGCTTACGTCGGACATGCTGACTCGCGCCTTGACCCTCGTGTCGCGCGGCCAGCACGACCGAGCGCACACCCTACTGAACGAAACCCGTTCTATCCTCAAGGGACTTGGAAAGGGTGGTCTTCCTCCGATCCCTCCGCCGGGCGCCCCGCCAAACAGGTCCCTCCCATCTACTCCGCATCCCGGAAACGAGGGCTCGCCCTCCCTTACCCCCGACAGGAAGCAATCCCCATCGCCAACGCAGTCTGCCAACTCTTCCGCTGCCAACGGGTACTCGGCTACCGCAGCAATCGGCCGCAGCCGCTCAAACGACGGCCTCGGACTCGGGGCTGGCATCGATGCCAACACTGTTGCAGCCCTCGACTCCGAGCTCGAGAGCAGTCTCGAATGGATCAGCCACCCTGCAGTGTTTGGCCGCGACAGCCGCAAGGCTGTGCTGCAGGCTATTGGTGTCATCAGCTCCCAACGCGCCTTCACGTTCCGGACGCCCATCGAGTCTCTGTGGGCCGGTCGGGTCGCTGGCGTGAAGAAGCTCACATCAAAGAGCCGCGAGTGGCGAGAGGAAGGAGGCGGCGAGGGCGGCATCATGGAAGAGGCCTAGATTGCTCTCCTTCCCGACTTGCTTGTTTTATATGGCTGGCTTTTTGGGGACACTTAGACGTTTGGACGACCAAGCGGCGGCGCATCGGTTCCTTGGGACAGACGTATTCTTACGGTCGTTACCCTGCATGGCTTGTCTTTTCCACCATCATACCCCTGATCTACAGCACACTTGTTTGTTTTTCACCGATATAGCTGCTTCTGCTACGTCTTTACCGCTCCGCAGCGCATGCTTGCCCGGAAAGATACCACACTTGTTTTTTCGTTCTCTTCTCTACACCCTGTTGTCTACGCCCGTCTGATGAGACACCTGTTTATCGTCGTCCTACACGATAGGACTTGCATTTTTGTAATTTCGCGTTTGTCATGTCACTGATGCCGGAGTGAGGGAGGGGATGGTCATGTATTGGATGGGGATAAGGAGGGGATTTCGGCTGCGAAAAAGTACGCTTCTTGTTGTACATGATTGGGAACGGCCAGAGCCGACGTGCGGGAGCTACGAGCAATATATACCTTGCTGTTGACATGCCAATACTCGGTGTTTTCGTGACGTGATATATCTTTTTCATTTATTTCTTGTCAATGACTTGGTAAGTCCTCAATCAACTGCCGCATCCGCTCTAGTCTCACTTTCACAGCAGGATCTCCGAAGAACACTTGGCGAGAAAAGCCATAATCATGAATATGCCTACAACAAATCATCTAGCCGTCCCAAATTGATAGCACCATGAGACCACCGTATATTCCCAGTCTTTCAGACGCCTAAAACTCCCCTCCATTCCCCAAAGCCAAAATGCTAATCACCCTCACTGCCGCTTACTCGGCGACAGTAGCCCTCTTCACCCCGAGCCGCTGCGAGAGCACGACCCAGGACGCTGCGCAGATGAGCTTGCGGAACGCCCTCGGGCTCGCGTCGTCGCCGAAGCCCTGCTCCAGCCACCTCGCGACGTTCGACCACTCAAGGAAGCCCAGGCGGTCGACGTTCTCCTCGGTGAGGATCTCGCACATCTTGGAGTGGATGGGCCCGCCGCGCGGCCACTTGACAGGCGCCGAGAACGGGTGCTTGCGCCGCTCGTACAGCTCCTGCGTGATGAAGGGCTTGGCCGCCTCCTTGAGGATCCACTTCTCAATCAGGCGCTGGCGCGCCGTGCCGTGCGACTTCCACCACATGCTGGACCCCGTGCCGTCTTGGCCTTCTGCGGCGGTCGCCGCTTCGGCGCACAGGACCTTGAGGCTGGGCGGGAGGGCGTTGACGTACTCGACGAGGTGGTGATCGAGGAAGGGCGGGCGGGCCTCGATGCTGTGCGCCATCTCGGTGCGGTCGCCGAGGCAGGTCAGGATCATGTTGGCGAGCGGGCCCTTGGTGTAGAGGTACAGGCTGGTGTGCAGCGCGTGCCAGCGCTCCTTCATGTTGGCGATGACCTCGGGCGACAGGGGCGGGTCGTGGGAGACGTTGGCGACGTAGACGTCGCGGACCCAGGGGGCGAAGGCATCCCACTCGGGCTCGAGGCGCAGCGCGGCCATGGAGGCGTCGTCCTCGAACATGCCGATGGAGTCGAACATGTCCTTGATGTCCTTGAGCATCTCGGTGAACATGGCGACGCGGGTGGCGTCGTCATTGAGCGGGGAGGCCGGCCAGGAGGGGTCGCCCTCCATGAGGAAGGCGGGCAGGACGAAGGGGTAGCCGGCGAAGTGCTCGTCGGCGCCCTCGCCGGTGAGGACGACGGGGATGCCGGCGGCGTGGGGGAGGGTGGAGAGGCAGAACTTGCCGACGGAGTTGAGGTCGAAGGTGTGGTGCTCGTTGTGGTAGACCGAGTCGGTGAAGTGGGCGGCCAGCTCGGCCTCGTTCATGTCCTTCTTCTGGATACGGACGCCGAGCCATTCGGCTGTGCGGTCGGCGATGTCTGGGTTTGGTGTCAGCGGTGGTGGCGTGATGTTTGGGGGAGTAGGGGGGACTCACCGGCTTCGTTGAAGCCTGACGCTTCTGGGAACTGGATCGTGAAGCAGGTGATTCTCTTGGTCGCGTCCTGGTTACCGAGCTTGACGCCTCCCTCGTGAACCAGTTTCGTCGTGATGCCTGCGACGACGGAAGAGTCGATTCCTTCAGGGCTGTCAGCAGCGTTCCGAGTGAGAAAGGGGATTGTTCATACCTCCTGACAGGTAAATGCCAACGGGCACGTCGGCGCGGAGACGGAGCTTGACCGCGTCAACCAGGTGCTCCCTCACGCCCAGAACCATCTCATCAACGCTGCGAGTCTCTACCTCGCGCTGCTACAAGTCAGCATCTCATTCACATACAACCAGTGTGCAGCAGCCCGGCTCACCTTATCCCTGAACTCCTGGTTCCAGTACAGATGCGTCTTCATCTCCCCCTCCCCATCAATCTCCATGTACGTGCCCGGCTCCAGCTTGAACACGTCCTTGAAGCACGTCTTGTCGTTCTGCATCGCGTTGCCGCTAATCACTCCAAACACGTTCCACTCGGGCTCCCAGCCCAGCGCCTTGAACCCCTTCATCTCCGAGGTCAGCAGCAGCCTCTTCCCCGCGGCGCCCTGGTCCTGGATCGTCCAGAACATGGGCTTGATGCCGAACCGGTCCCGCGCGACGACGACGCGGCCCGTGGTCTCGTCGTACACGACGAACGCGAACTCGCCGCGCAGGTGCTCGAAGAAGCAAGTCCCGTAGATCTTGTACAGCGCCACCAGCACCTCGCTGTCCGAGTGGCCCTTGAAGCGGTACCCGAGGTCCACGCACCGCTCCCGCAGCGCGTCGTGGTCGTAGATCTCCCCGTTGACGACGGCGTGGATCTTGCCGTCGTCGCTGTGGATCGGCTGCACGCCGTCCGGGGAGAGGTCGTTGATGGCCAGGCGGCAGTGGCCCAGGCCTGCGGGGGTCAGTTGAAGTACTTTATCCCTCTAATATGGTGTAGGACTCACCAATGGCACCATCGTCGCTGATCCAGACCCCGGAGGCGTCCGGGCCGCGGTGGGCAATGGCTTTCAGGCTCTCCTCCAGCTCCTTGCGGAGCGGGCTGTTGTCCACCTTCTTCACATGGCCGTTGGTCTTGCTGCCCTGCCCGAGGGCGATGGTCGCCGTGATTCCGCACATGGTGTAAATGAACTACAAAAGGGGGCCCAGAACGAACGGAATGCAGAATGATAAGGGAACCGATCAACGAAGAAGCATGGGGCTTGTCTTCCTCTTGTTTTCCCGCAGCGGCATCTGAACTATTTAAGATGGCATGCTCGATGAGAAGAATATGGCTGAGAAGTTTCGACGTTTCCGACGCCGCTGCTGCCGCCTCCTGCCGCTTCATCCATACTCTTCGTCACCCCAGCAGCCCGGGGCGAAAGAGTCCCAAGCGTACGGAGCAGCATGATCTATTTTGCTAATTTACATTACCTAAAAGACTACATTGCAGTGTGGATGCAGAGGGAGAAACAAAATGGACAGAAACAAAAGAAGGGGAGAAACAGGAAAACAGCTGATGATCGGGCCGAGGGGTACATACGGGGAGATCTTTGTCTGAAGATTTCCCCTGCGTGGTTGCGAGATGTGATGCGAGCTGCACCCAAAGAAGAGAACTTGAGACATTGACGATGCGGGGAGGAGGACGACGCAGCTCTTTAAACTCTCACGGTCTACACTACCATGACCACCAACTTTCTCCATGCCGATTTACCCCGGGGAGAGCGGACTTGGCCCGGTCTCACCCAAGAAAAGGGACGGACGGCCTTTCACGCAACACAGACCTTGCAGAAACGTTCCGTCGGGCTTGGGTTGGCTATGCATGATCGGTACAACGCCCCGTGCGCATCTCAATGGCAGAGTCCGTAGAAGAGGTGAATGAGCCACGATGCGGGTGACGAACTTGGCATTTAAGGTACTACATGAGACTCCGCGGCAGCGAGGGTTAAGATGAATTGGAACTCAGACTTGGGGAGTGGTTGTGTTAGTCCGCGGGGAGTTGCGTGGTGGTTGGTTGCGTGGTGCCAGTTTGACATTTGAGAAAAAAAAGGGCAAAGCGTCGTCACTCCCTTCCTCGCCTCGCAGCCTACTTCAAAACGCCAATGTCCGGCGACGGCTTGGCCTGGTTCAGCCAAGGAAGTGCTCACGTTGAAGATGACGAGTGTATAAGGGGGCGCAAGCGCCGCAAAACAAAATGCTCGTTTGGATGGCTGGCTTGTCACGATTGGTGCAGGTAAGAAGGCCAAGTTTAACTCAAGACTGCGTAATTGTATTGTAATGGTCTACTTCATCTGCGTAGCGAGAGAGAAAGATCCTCCGAGAGTCCATCTAGTCCAACCACTGTCGCATCGTCATGATGTCTTGCGATGCTTCTGCGTTTCTGCGCCCGGGCTCCGTTTATCCGCTGCCGCCCTTGCCGCCCTTGCCACCTCCGTTGCCGCCTCCGGTGCAGCCACCGCTGCCAGAGCTGCCGCCGTTGGGGCCCTTGCTGCAAGTAGGAATCTTGTTGGAAATCATGTTTAGCAGAGTGCGTTGGAGTTGTGAGGTGTTTGTAGGTGTGAAGTGCTGGAGTGTGATTGATGTTGTTCTGTTGTGTTGTGCTGTTGTGATGATTGGCATTAGGGAGCAGAGAACGGCAGTTTATATAGCTGTCCAGTCTGCGAGTGTTCCAGGTGAATACATCGTGTTCTGTCGAGGTTAGTGAATTTCATCCCGTCTGGTGATATGGTAGTTCGCGATGGTGATGCGGCATGTCGACTCCACCCGCCGCAGCGTCGTCAAATTCATATAAACCAAGATACGAACCAAAGCCAAAACAAAAGAGGGCCGAGAAAATCACCGAGTCGCAACAGGGCACTAGCACTTGTCTTCAGGAATCTATTCGGGATATCTCGACGTGAATTTTGACGTAGTCTATGGTCATCAAAACCGACATGAACTCCACTACCAGTCCCCTTTTTATCCCGTTTAGTCCTCATCCCAGTTCTAAGTGGCAGGTCAGTATGTTGCCCAGCAAGCAGGTCGTCACGAAAACTTACGGGATTGGGGCCAGGAGGCTTAGGGCCACCCGCCTGGCGAGCCACAATAATCTGGTCGACAGACAGAACAGTCCGAGCCGCCTCGGTAGCCAGCTTGATGGCCCACGACTTGGAAACCAGCAAATCGAGGATACCCTCATCACGGGCGTCAAGGGTGCCGCTGCCGTCGTCGTTCTGTGATAGTCAGCATCGCGGTCACACGCGGTCTCAGCGGGCGGTCTTACCTCGATATCGACACCGGTGGCCCAGTCGTCCTTCTTGTGGTGCGCCATGTACAGTCTGCTGAGAACCTCGGTTGCGTCCAGGCCGGCACTCTCTGCAATCGTTCTGGGGACAACCTCGAAAGCCTCGCCGTACTTCCTGATGGCGTACTGAGACAGACCAGGGGTCTTCTCACCGAGAGCGTTCAGTCTCTCGACAAGCTGGATCTCGGTGGCACCCGCACCAGGCACCAGGCGGGGGTCTCTGGTGATGGCCTTGACGACGTTGACACCGTCGTCGACGGCACGCTCAATGTCGTCGAGGTGGTTCTGGGTGGCTCCTCTCAGGACAATGGTTGCTGTTCTTGTGACCTCGTTCTCTTGTCTGAAGACGGTGACACGGTCACCGCCGATCTCAAGGGTCTCGACAACGTCGATTGAGCCCATCTCGTCGGGCATGGGGGCGCCCAGACGGGCAAGGGGGGTGGCACCGACGACTCTGCAGATTCTTCGCAGCTCAAACTTGCTGAGAATCTTGATGAGGAGGATGCCGTATCTGTTGAGGTAGTGCATGGCCAGGTCGCCGACGGTGGAGCCGGCAACGACCACCCTGATGCCGACGTCGTGGAGCTCCTTGATGGAGGCCTCGAGCTGAGACTCCTCGCCCTTGGTGAAGTCCATCATCTCCTTGGCGTTGTGGAGAAGCACGGTGCCCTTGGTCTCGGTCTGGCTGGTGTCGATGGGGCAGGAGAAGACACCGACCTTGGCCTTCTGGGCCTTCTTGATCGATCCATCCGGCTCCTTGGGGAAGACCATACCCTTGACGACACGACTTTGCTCCAAGCTGCCACCCATGATCTTGACTACTCTGATGTTGTCGACGTTGAAGCCGACGGGGTTCTTGGGGAGAACGGCAAGGACGGCCTCGGCGGTGAGGTTGGCCAGGAAGTCCTCGCTGCCGTTCTGCTTGCTGGCAATAACGGTGCGGATGGCCTTGCTCAGCTCCTCCTGAGAACGGATCTCCCCAACCTTGTCGACGGACAGCTCCTCCAGGGTCTCGAGGGCGAACTTTTGGGCGCGCTCGTAACCGGTGACGATATCCGACGTCTTCAGGCCCATGCGCAGCAGGTCCTCGGCCTTCCGCAGAAGCTCGCCGGCAAGAACGATGACCAGGTTCGTGGCATCGCCCATCTCGGCCTCCTGCTGCTGACTGGCCATAACCAGGAGCTTGGCGGCGGGGTGAACGACATCGAGTTCTCTGAGGATTGTGGCGGCGTCTGAGGTAAGGATCATCTTCTGGAGGTGGTTGATGACGATCTTGTTGCGGCCGTAGGGGCCCAGAGAGGTCTGAACGGTCGAGGCGATGGCGCGGCAGGCGTCGATGTTCCGCAGGACGGCTCCATCTTCGGAGTCGTAGCTGTTGCGAGGGGGGTTAGTCGGTGACGGTGGGATGGCGGGGGAGCTTCACTCCAGATAGGAGAGACTCACTTGTTGTACCCCTGCTTGAACAGGCCCGCGTTGGGGGCGTTGGGGATGTTGAGAGACATGATGGACTGACGACCAGGTACGGTTTGGGTATCAGGGTTATGTCAGTCTCGCCGCTCGTAACAGTGTGGGAGTACCCTGAATGTTGACGATGTGGTTGCGGGAGCTCCTCCAGACTCAAAAAAAAGTCTGGGTGCAGTGCGGGAGCGTGTGCTGCAGCCTTGGTGGGCTGGAGTGGGAGATGACCAATCACGACACTGCAGGCGTGCTATTGATCCGATCCGGCGCAACTGGAGTGGCCTAAATCTTGGGCGTGTCTCCAGCGACGCAGCGTTTCTTCAGTGTTCTACCACGCAAGAGAGTTTCTGGTGGATGTGTCTTAAGCAGAGTTTAACGGTCAAATTGTTACACGGGCATCTTATAACATTAAAAATATATCTGGTGTTTTTGTGAGAATTTTTCAATAGTTTTAGACACTCATCTGTCGTTAATTCTACCGTCTGGCAGTCTTGGTTCTATGACATTCCCCAGACCACAGTTCACCTCCTCAGATGCAGTTGAGCAGCCCCATATTATCCAGCCCAGGCACCTGAAGGCAAGGTAAGCAGCGGGTGTTATTTAATCACCCCCGGCAGGTGGCCCACCCCCCTGCTCCCCTCCACTGTTCCTGCTTCGGTGTAAGACAGCAGCTGCCAGCCTCGCACTGCCCAGCTGGCACTGGATTGGCGCAATCGGCTGGTTGGTCCTGACGACAATCCCGTCCCGTCGCTCAGATCACGCTGCTCAATAGCGAGCGACCTGAGGTGCCTTACATACTAAGGTAGTCGCAGTCTCGGCAGGCTCAACCTCCCGTCTCTTCCCCCGTCCTTTCAGATTCGCGTCCCATTCAAGCTTCAACTCAATCTACCCTTAGGTTCTCCCGCTTTTTGGCGCACGCAGGTAAAGGAAGCTTCCTTGTACCATCCATTGTACCTTCCGTTATAAAAAAAAAACCACAATGGCTCCGCAATCTGGTACGTTGGTCACTTCAATGTCCTCCTGCCCGTCCACATCCGCGCTCCCTTGAATCAAGCAAGCTCGTAAAAGCTCCGCTCGACATCCGCTGCGAACCCCATCCCCATCCCATCCCGTCGCAACTCTTCCCTTGACCCGTCCTTGCCCGCAAAGGAAAAGGAAACAGCCATTGTCCGGATTGATTTTCTGCATCCAACTACAACCCCACGATATTCGCACCATCCCAGCCCTTCCCGCGCGTCCGTCGCCCAACATCACAATGCCTCCGAAAAAGATTATTCGAGCTAATCCACCCGCCGTCGACCTCTCAGCCATTCCGCCTTCCCTCCCACCCTCCGTCGAGGAGGCGTACCGAAGAAAATGCATCCAGCTAAAGCAGCGCACGAACGAGGTCGAGGAGGAGAACGACGCGACCCGCGTGCGCCTCGCCCGTATCAAGCGCCAGGTCGAAAAGATGCGTCTGGAGCGCGCCTTCCTGCTCGAGCAGCTCGCCAAAAGAACCAGCACAAACGTGGAGGATTCAGACGGCAGCCCGAGCCCACCTCCGACAGTAGGCCCTCCGCCAAGCCCACCTCGACGACAAAGCAGACTGCTGACACCATCTCAGCCGCAAGAGAAGCCTCTGCGTACGAAACGCGGACACCGTAAGCCCTCGGTCCTGGCCGAGATCGACGCCGCCGCCAAGAACGACTCGCCGAATCCCCAGAGCCAGAACGCCGCCACCGTCTCCCCGAGCTCCGAGACCTTCTCCCACGCCCACGCTGCCGAGTCCCAGGCCTCCGCTCGTACGAACGGCGTCGCGAAGCCGCCCAAGCGCCCGGGCAACGCGTTCGAGCTCTTCTGCAGCGACAGTCGCCCCGCCTTTGAGGAGAAGAAGAAGGACGATGCTGACCTCAACATCGACGAGGAGCTCGCGCGGGCCTGGAAGGACCTGCCCGAGGCTGAAAAGGAAGAGTTCCAGACCCGTTCCGACCAGGAGATGGCCAAGTACCAAAAGGAGAAGGACGCCTTTGCCGCAAAGAGCAAGAGCGCCGAGCCGAAGGAGGAGCGCGAAAAGACTCCAGATCAGGCCCCTGCAGCTTCACAAGATGAGGACGTGGAAATGACGAACTACGACACGGAGGAGCAGCCAGAGGAGACGCCAGCCGCGGACGACAAGGACGACAAGGCGGACGAATAGAGCCGTCTTGGTGAACCGGGTTGCTCAATTATCAGGCGTTCAGGTTTTGGCGTAGAGGGCTCTCGCATTTATTTGTACACTATGCGAAAACATCAATAGCTCCAGATATATGGGGCGGGCGGCTTTCAGTTTCTTCAAGTATGCACCTTCTTTGCACTTTTGACGCCGTGAAGCTCCGTTTCTATGCACTCAACTGAACTCCAGGTGTTCTGTGTGTCCTCTGAATTACGTCTCGTCACTGGATTTTCCCATCCCAACCATGAATGAAACCCTACTCCTAGTGCCTACAGTCCATATTGCTAGTCCGATGCATACAAGTCGACCACAATGTTGATGGCCGCGACGACGATTTCAGCCGCGATGAGTACAATTACTGCGCGTTGTGTTAGCTGTGAGAGATCGACGGGGCCACCAGGGCGGGCTCACCAATCCATTCTAGTTTCTCGCCATGCCCATGACTGAGCTGGTCCTTCAGCACAGCCAGTAAGTCGGCAATGACATCGAGTCGTTCCGTCAGGAGACCGACACGCTGGTCCATCTCCAGGTAGCTACGGACGGCCTGGTACACCGGCTCGAGTTGCGGCTCGACCCAGAAGAGCTCCGGCGTGTCGAGCACGGAGCCGTTGAGGTGGATGTTGATGCGGAGGATGAAGAGCTCGCCGATCTGCATGTTGATCTGCGTCCGGCTGAGAGCGATCTTGCCCGTCAGCGCGATCTGTGTGGGGATGTCTTTGCAGGTGTCGACGGTTGAAGCTATCAACTCCTCGAAAAGGGATGTCTGCATCGGGTCAGCATCAGGACATTGTAGCTAGACGAGAGGGCACCAACCTTGACACTTTGCGCCAGCGCGTGGGAGATGGCCAGCTTGGTCATGTAATTCCTCTTGTCACGCAGCGTGATAAAGTCGTTGTATATACGAGCCTGGTACTCGCGCGTGTAGTAAAAGTTAAAGTGCTCCGTCTCGACGTCGTCCGGCGCCAACTTCTCCGTCTCGAACTTTGCAATCTCCTTGAGGAACCGCTGCTCTTGGGCCAGCGTCATGCCCCATATCACAACCACGCCGTAGTCGAAGAGGAACACCTCGGGGGTGTGCACCTGCGTGTCGAAGTCGGGGTTCGTCTCCCCGACGATGGCGGTCTCGTTGCCGCCGTCGTAACCGTCAGCGAACCCCGAGTCGTGTCGGCCTTCCGAGTGCAGGTCTATGAGGTTATCTCGGTGGAAGCCGTTGTCCGAGACATCGCCCGTCGAGTGCCGCCTCTCGTACGCCTGGACGGGGTCCGGCTGCGCACCCACGCGGCGGTCGTGCCTGTTCTCGACGGTCTTGCTGTAGTCGTAGGCCGAGTAGATGCACTCATCAATCAGCTTCGGGCTGGCGCCCCTCGTCTTGCCCCGCCCCTTGAGGAACCGCATCAGGCCCTCCATCTGGTACTTGTTCGCCGTGCAGTACGCCGTCACCCTGGGCAACCTGTCGCGGTCCGCCTTGCCGAGACGCGCGGCGTCCCTTCGCGCCGTCGGGTCCTTGATGCGCGTGTACTGCGAGTACACATCCCTGCCGCTCTCCTCATCGGGGCTCTCCTCGCCCAGCTCCGGCGCGGGCAGCAGCTTCAGCTTCTGCGCGTTCTTGGTGCTTCGCTGCGGGCCGATCTTGGGCACCAGCTGAGCCGGCAGGCTGGGGACGGCGCCGTGGCTGTTCCTCCGGCGCAGCTTGCTGTTGATGGCGGAGATGGCGGAGCTCTGGCCGGGGCTCGTGGCGAGGGCGTTGTGGCTCGTCCGCGGCCGCGGGACGTCTGGCTCCGGCTCTATCGTCTTCGAGACGGGGTTCGGGTTGAATGTGACTGTTCGCGCCGACTTGGGGCGGTTCTCTGTCGTCGGGAGGAGTGGCGTGTTCTCGGTGGCCGAGGCCGAGCCGGCTGGTGATGTTGTTGTCGTCTGATCCATCTCTGCAAGCTTTCTTGTTTTTCTTCTCTCCGGCTTTTTTTTCTTTCGCCTCGTCGCTCAGGGGGTATCACTAAATGAAAGAAAGAAAAAAGAGTCGTGAGACCTGGATGATGAAAGTGGTCGGAAGCCGATCGTGTTATCGCATGTCGCAAAGGGGGTTTATTTTTTGGCGATTGGGTCGTTCGATGGTGTCTGGGGGAGGGAGGTCATTGCTGCGTGTGGAAGCGACAAAGCTGCTGGGTCCGGACGGGTGCTGGATTTGCAGTCACCATGTCTGATGACGTCCTCAGTTTTCACGAATTGGGTGTGCTCCAGAGGCCTGTCTCCCAGCTGTGGGCTGCTGTATTTTGCGGGGAAAGCTGCATTCGGTGCACCAATTACCCGACCACTGTCGCCGCTGGGCAGCTTAGGTTCGGAGGCACTCATCCACTGTGGGAACCTGCTGCGCTTCTAATCATCACGACTCGACCTTTTCAAGACGCATGCCATTGTGTCCTTCGTCGTTGAAGGTGCAACTGGATAGTGCGCTTACCTCGAGTCATATTTGCGCTCTTCCAACAGCTAGCTAGCTGCTGCAGCTGTGTGGATAAGCTACAACAACCCCTGAGCTGTCATCATGCCCCTGGCAAACGACAACCTTGGGTTGCAGCTATCGCTACTTAGAGCAAGTTAGGTGCATAAACGTGTTTTCTATACATGCGCTATCAGTATCAGAGGATCCAGGAACGCGGATGACAGCGACGATCGCTCCATTTGCTAATGCTCTTTGTTAGAGCCGCCGGAATAACACACTCTTCCGTCGTCCACCGTGCAACTCGCTTCTCTCGATCAGAGTTTCGATTGCATGCGACTTCCGGATAACCAACCGAGAGCCGAGTCAGCAGAATCGTTTCCTTCACATCATCATGATTCACAGTGGAAACAAAGTTGAACCTTGCGCATGATTACAATTGACTACATCAAGATACATACTTGAACACAATCCGTCTGTTCGTCCGTCGCATACAGGAACAACGATCTTACACTACTGATCCAAGATCTTAGTCTCAAACTTGAAGCCAACATCATGCAAACGATCAATGTACGGTTGTCCCAGGCACGCGGCCGTGAACACACCTCCAGGCAAGTCAACGTCATCCTCCAGCAGCGTCGACGCAGCCTGCGCCAACAGCATGCCCGTCACTATCCGAGTCAGCAATTCGTCTTCAGGCACCTTCTCGCGGACAACTCACAATAATACATGCTGCCAGTGTACTTGGCACGGCAGTATGCCTGCGGATTTCCAGTCTTGGACGCCTTGTCGGGCATAGCAATTCCGCGGTACTCAATCTCGTCCTTCTTTGCCAGCTCCTTATCAGGTCCTTGGCCTGGCTCGTAGACAAACCGCTTGGCCAACGCCCTGAACGGCGGCATCGTCGCGAGGAGCAGACCAAAGAACCCGAGCGCCCAGTGAATGGCGATGCCGCGAAGGTAGCCTTTCGCTCTCATGTACTCGTGGAACGAAAAGTTGGGCCCGTAAAACTGCTTCTCTCGCGAGGGCAGCGACGCCATGAGGCCCCACGATCTTTGGACGATGGGCGTGTCCGTCATCCCGGCAATCGATGTAGTCATCAGTCCCAGGTTTGGGACGTTACACAATCCCACCAACTTGGTCAGCAGGGACTTCTGCGACTGAACCTTATTGCGATTGGGCACTGGCGAGAGAGCATATGGCTTGTGCTGCGCTTTCACCTCCGATATAGAGAATGACTCAAACAGGCCGAGTACCGTTGCCAGGGTACCGCCAGACGGAGCCGAACTATCGAAAGATACGGCGTTAGAGCGACGTTTGTCAATGTTTCAGCACGCGATGATGGGGACTGGACTTACTCTAGCTGATGGATAGAGACCGTCACTGCTGCCGTCTTGGCCGAGAGCTTCTCGCGGACCTCCTTCGTGAGCGACCAGGTGACGAGGTCTGGCGGGGCGGATTCGATGCCAATCTGGGGGAACATCATCGCGCCCGTCTCCTGGGCTGCACCTTCGTATTTGTTGATCATCGTGCCGGTCCAAGGTGTCTCGCCGGTCACATCCATGTAGTGCGTGCCATTCTCGGCGCATGCCCTAAAGGCAAGCTCGCCATACTGTGCATAGGGGCCGACGGTGGTGATGAGAATGTAAGTTTTCTTTACGAGGCGCTCGAGATCCTCATCGTTGAGGCTGCAGATTTCAATCTCTGATAATAGTCAGTTATACGAAGCTGCATATGGTGTGCACGAATAGCGGTTCGCCAAGCCCGCGTGAAGCCGCATGAAGGATCCAACCCCTCAGGACACTCCGTCATCACTCTTCTCTCTCCCTCGCTACGCCGTGTAATCGCCCGTTCCCATTTTCTTTTGGCGTGCACTGGTATTCATTCTGATGAACACCCAAGGGAGGGAAACGTCCAAGCCGCTTGGCTGGAGAACTCCCGGGGAAAATCAGACACCCGTCTGATGTGACAAGAACTCAAAATCCTTCGGCTCACCTGGCTGCACTCTATCGGAATTCAACTTCTTCAACTCTGCAACGAGGCCTCGAAGTTTGGACTCTGATCGGCCTGCCAGCGCCCATTTCAAATTGGATGGCAGGTGTGTTGTAATGTGCTCCGTGACAAAATTTCCAGTGTATCCTACGGGCTATTGTCAGCGCTCGGCTTCTTGTCAAAAGTACATGTTGCATCATCACTTCACAAACAGTTCATCAACTTGCACGTACCCGTGGCGCCAAAGACGACCAAGTCGTACTGACGGCCATGCTGCTTGATCGGCATCTTGAAATCGCTGGACAGAATCACTCTCGAGCTGGTCGTCGTGCAGTAGAAGAAAAGCAAGAGGTCAAAAGGGAAAAGCACAGTTACAGAAGCCCCAAGGTGGTTTAAAGTCTCAGACATCTCGAAAAGTCATGCACGGCGGCTGCCATCTTTACATATCCCAGCACGCCACGAAAAGTGGCGCCCCCGCGTCCGCGTCTCCTTTCCGGCCCCTTTCCAAAGCATGAAGGTACGGACGATGATCCCTCACTATTACCGTTTCGTGGTCCATTTGGTGACACATTCCTTTGCCTGCGGCCGTTGGGAACGCAAACTTTCGAAGTAGCAAACGGCGATATGGACTCGTAAAGGCATCTGGCCCGCGCTGCCTCGGCCACCCTAGCGCTTTCTTGACGTCCACCCGGACGCTGTGCTTTCCAAATGCGGCCTAGGAGGGCCGAGCGGACAGGTGTGACGCCGATCTCCCGGGCTGATTGAAAGCTCCGTTTGAAGAGAGAAACCGGTGCAACCTCGCAGAGAAAGGCACACCGCCGCCCAGCCTCCACTCACAGGCGGACAGCTCCAGGATCCACCAGCCAGCCGGCGACGGCCTGTCATGTGACTAAGCACGTGCGCTCGCTAAGATATTTTTTTTCTCGACTGGCAATTGCGATGGAAGCAGATGGCAGCCGAGCGGACCCGCACTTACCTCACTCGAACGGTAGGCTTGCCCTAGGTACGTACTCATTTCGACTTTGGCCCACGAAAAATCTACTTGGGAATTTTCTCGACCAAGTCGCCCTGAACACCTCCATCGTCGAACTTCAAGTCAACGAACCCGTTCCCCTCACACATCGACAAAATGGCCAAGCGCACGAAGGTTCGTACTGCTCTACAATTAACACCAGGAGGATTGGCTTCGTCGAGTTCTCGTCATGCGTCGAATCCCCTACCCCGCCTAGACGACTGTCCGCGATTTGCTCCATTGGCGACAGTGGCAGGTGAACCGTGAAGGCATCGTGAGATGCGGGATAAGGTCGACTGGATACATTCGCCTGCGCAACAGCACTACGCCCCGAGATGAGATCGAGAGAAAGAGAGCCGAACGATTCGATCATGCCGCCCGACGTCAAGCTCCTCGCCCGAGATGCTTCACCCACAACTTCACCACCAAAATCCTTGCCCCGACTCTGACACGACACAATGGGCCGCCTGCTCAGTGACGACACAGCGAATCTCCATGGACACAATTCCAACGCACATATGACGCAATCCCTCGTACTCTTCTCTCTTGTTCGCAACTCGGCGGTGGAAAGCAGCGCCGCATCCAGGCACGAACAGATGCATGACGGAGCCGACGAAGCCATGGCCCTCGCTCAACCTCGCCAACCGCAGATGGCTAACAACCCTACAGAAGGTCGGAGTTACCGGCAAGTACGGTACCCGTTACGGTGCTTCCCTGCGTAAGCAGGTGAAGAAGATGGAAATTTCCCAGCACGCCAAGTACACCTGTACTTTCTGCGGAAAGCCCACCGTCAAGCGCCACTCCACTGGCATCTGGAACTGCCACGCCTGCAGAAAGACCGTCGCCGGCGGTGCCTACACTGTTGCGTATGTTCAACCACGTCCTTGGCTTCTGCCTCGATATGTCGAAGAGACACCAGTCGCTAACCAGATACACAGCACCCCCGCCGCCGCTGCCATGCGCTCTACTCTCCGTCGCTTGAGGGAGATCGCTGAGGTTTAAGGATGAGATGACGGAATGGTGGACGGCTTCTGCTTTGCATTTTCGGGCGGTGTATGGGAAAACCGGATATTCATGTCTACCCTGACGACGGCCACAATGGAACGGGTCTTCAGTCAGCTGCCAGAGGGACCACTTGGTCAGCAATGAAAAGAACAACTTGACGTACAACAACGTCCCCTCCCGATCGCTCTGTTTTGGTGTGCAGTCGTTTTAGCTTGCGAGGCAAGTATTTCCGTGAAGTGACGAACAGTGTGATAGGGGTCAGTTGGACAGGGAGTGGGGACCGGCCGGCGTGGACAGAATGACCAACCTCATCAGATAGCCGCGTGGTCTGGCAGGCCCACGCTTTGTCGATCGGCGCCATTCGTCATAAGGAGGCGTCTACGAGGCTACGCTACGCTCGCAGCGGCACATCTCAACATTTTGATGTCGGGCCAAGACAGTTCGTGGCCGGTCCCGCTGGGTGCCTGCATTGGACCGAGGCAGCACGACCCAGCAAGGTACTCACAAGAGGCCACAATGACTCCGTTTTGTATGTACTCACAGCTTCATAGTTGGGTTTAGAATGGTCTCGAAGCTGTCGAATAATTTCATGCAATAGCGGTGCCACGTTCGGTTGGCATTTGAGTCATCCAGGTGCCCTGGACTGGCAAAGCGCGGTCGCCGCTGGCCAGCGCCAGGCGGCCAATGAGACGCCTGACTAACACCGATGGAAAAGAGGACACCACGGGACGGCGGGTTTGCACCATGTAAGTCGGTGAGTTCTGATTGTCACCTCGTCCCTGCTCGTCAACACGGTGTCTGAGAGACATACGAGGGACGCATCATTGCTGGCGAAGATGAGATCTTCGTACCTCAAGATGAGCCGCGCGAGAGTAGGCAAATTTGGGGGCTGTTCCCCTGCGGAATGGCCGCTATGGCTGCCGTGTCCGATCGAGACACACATGGGTATAAAACGGTGCATCCGCTTCAATTTACCTTCCCTTTCGATGATTTCACCCTGGGCCATTTCAATTTGCTAGGCAAGGGAAATAACACGCATTTGTGGCCGGGACCGGGACGGGCGGCCGGCGACGGAATCTCAATCAACTCGACCGCAGTCGACTCCAACCCATCCTATCAACTCTACTCGCTCGGGCACACCAAGGAAGAGACGGACTCTGGCTTGGGTCGCAACCTGACGCAGGCCAGACGACCAGCCAATCTCGTCAACCTCCGAGACGACTCGAGGGGCGTCGAGGTCTCACGTGTGCCTTGCGTACAGCAGCCATATCCGCGTCTACCTCGACTTTAAGGTGTTCACCACCACACACCAGAAGAACAGGGCTTGGGTGGTGGACTTGCCTTACCTTGCCTGCCCGCCCCTCCCAGCTGCCCCCAACTCCCGTGATGACAGAGAAGGGCATCCCATTTTTGGAAGCGGAGATGGCACTTTGAACCGACCTGACCCCATTCCAGCGCCAAATAAGAGTATTCACACCCTGCGCCCCGGCTTTTCCCCTTCAGCCATCTCGTTCCGCCCTCGATTCAACCGTCCTCTTTCTTCTTTCTTTTCTTCCGTTGTTCCACAACCCGTTCCTCATCCTTCAATCACCTGCGCCTCCGTCTCTCCCCTCCCCCTATCGTCCGGCCTGCCGTTGCCGGCTCTGCGTGCCAATCCGGAATACCACCTCCCACCTCCTTGCGTTAAGGCACCGCCTGAGTTGTGGATTACACCTGACTGTGTGCCTGTGTGCCTGTGGGTGTGTTCTGACGTAAACGCCTCGCTCGCACATCCCGATCTCACTCTCAGGTCGCCTCAACGCGTACACAGATGCAGACGCAGACTCCAACCTAACACACATTATTGTCTATACTTTGCCCACCCTACCTTATTATTACTTCAACCCACGACGTATCTACCTCACGCTCAGCTGGCTCGAGGTACCTGACCCGAACTGACGTCGCACGAGCCAGGCGAACCCATCGAGAGTGTTTGACTCGCCCACTTGCCTTGACACCACTACCACCGCCCTCTCCCCTCCTCTTCCACACCACCCTTGCCCTCCATCCCCGGCCCACGATTCGTCCAGTCGTGGAGGGTCGCCGCGGAAGTAGAGAGGTTGCAAAGGGTCAGCTAAGAAGCTAGGAACCGAGAGGACAAGGCCGGCAAGCGCAACGCGAGGAAGCAAAGGCAACGCAACGCAACGCAACGCAACACACGCAAGCTTCCCGCAGGCGTGTCGTGTCGTGCTGTGTCGTCTGGGTTTCTACCCGCCAAGTCCCCATCCATAGCAGGCAGGTACGTATCACAACTCTCTTTTTTCACTTGCTGCTGCTGCTGCCGCTTCCTGACTTGCCCGATTCGAGGGGTTGCCGAGGAGCAGGGGCCCCATTCACTCATGACTTGCCTTACCGCGTAGCTTGCCCGCCCTGCGTGTGGTGATGGTGAGGTACGGATAGGTGAATGAGTTGAGTGAATGCTGCTTGTTTGCTCGATGTTGCTGCTGCTGCCGCTGCTGCTGCTAATGCTGCACGATCCATGGATCCTTGGGGGGTTGTGCTTTGCAGCGGCCCTAGTGGGCTAGTCTGGTCCGTCGGGTTGCAGTCCGCCTCAGTCCAGTCAAGTTCAGTCCACCTGGCCCAGTGTCTCCGATGTCCAGCGTCAAGCGTGTGCAAGTCACCATCCATCCAGACAGACAGACAGACAGCCAGGCACTGAAAGTTGCGGACAGCTGCGGGTGGTGGTGATGGGCTACCTACCTACCCGGGCCGTAGTGTCCACAGTCCAGCAGCAGGTCCCTGTCCAGCCCACTGGGCCACGGTCTGAGGTCTGTGGTCCTGCGGTCTGCGGTCTGCGATGGTGTGTGTGGCGTACCGCTGGGCATCAGCCGGCCGTTGATTGGCCGCGGTTGAGACCAGCTGCTGCAGGCCTGCGCTAAGCTCGCAAAAAACCGCTTTGGGGCTCCGGGTCCTCAAACTCTCTCTCCTACAAAATTCCAGGTCGCTCGTGGCTTTCAGCGGCAGGGCAGCGGCAGCAGCAGGTACAGCAACGCAACACCACTCAGTGAAGCAGCAGAGTCCACTTCATCTTCATCACTCAGACCCCCCAAGCCGGCAGTGCGCATCCACGTCTCTTTCGTCCCGTCTACCAGCTGGCAGCAGCAGTTATCTTATCCTCTTGCCAGGCTTGCTTGCCTCCCTCACCACCCTTACAGTTTACCTTACAGTCCTGGTCTTCACCTCACCTCTCACCCACGCCCTCATCCCATTCTCTCCGTCACCTCAAGCCGGAAGTGCGAAATCCCCCTCCCACACTGGCCTCTCGCAGCTTTATTTTTTCGGTTTCCCTTCCAGCGGCGAAACATCCCCGAACCGGCTGACAGTTCCTCTCCCGCTAGAAACGCACCACACACCTGACACCAGACCAGACCAACCTTGCCTCCTGCCTGCCAGCCAGCCAGTCACTCTGTCTGTCTGTCTGTCTCTCTGCTGCCTACCTACCCACTTCCACCTCTTCTTTTTTTCCCTTTCCCACTCTTCAGCAACCAGCAAACCCAACCCAGTGCAGTGAGTGCGCCTAGCACCACCAACAAGACTACCACCACCCAGTCGCCTCAGCACCAGCGCCCTACTCACCTTTGCCGCCCACCTTTGCACGCCTGACAACAAGGCAAACAAACCAAGGTTTCCAGAATTAAAGAACAACCTCTCAGGCTGTGAATTCTGGTGAACATCAAACGCCATATATTGGCCTCTCCCTTTGACGAATTTTATGAATTCTTCAAATCTGAAGCGATACTACCACTGTTGCCACAATGACTGAGCCGGATCAGTGCATCATATGCCTGGAGTCGCTGCAGCCCCCCTCGCTGCACCAGCCAGACAGTGCAAACGGGTCGGGTCCTACAGCACTCCCAGCAGCACCAGCAGCGGCACCACCATCAACAACAGCAACAAAACAAGCCGTCTACCAGCGCATCGACTCCGACATTGAAATCCTCGAAGACGAAAACAATCTGATTGCTACTCTCGTCGGCTGCAACCATGTAGTCCACGATCGCTGCATCAGGAGCTGGGCCAAGAACTCCAACACCTGTCCCATCTGCCGCACGCCTTTCAATGAGGTCAGTCTATCATCTGAGCTCAACGGTACGTATCACCACAAACCACCATCCCACCCTTATTACTGCAACAGCAGCAGCTAACGGCTTGGAATACAGGTCCTTCCGTCGACTCGTACGCCGTCCAGGACAAAAAGCAAGAGCAGGAGTTCGATATTCACAGATGGCTCGAAGAAAACCCCGAGGGGCGAGAAGAGTCGGAACCCGCTGTGGTTTGCCCTGTCTGTGAGTCCTCGGACCACGAAGATGTCCTCCTCCTCTGCGATGGCTGCAACGCGGCCTACCACACCCACTGCATCGGCCTCCCTGAGGTCCCCGAGTCGGAGTACTGGTTTTGCTTCGAGTGCAACGACAACTCGGCCGGCCGTCCGCGTCCTGCTGAGATTTCCCAAGGCTCCGTCCAGGAGGCGCAGGCCATCTCCCACGCCATCGCGCAGGCTGCTCGCTCCTCAAACAGACGGGGCAACAACAACCGACGCGGCTTCCTGCGTACACAACTCCAGGCCAGAAACGCAAGGCGCGAGGCGAGGTCTCTCGAATGGGTGGGCGCTTGGGACCATATTGCCAGCCGCATCTACGACGCCACCGAGATCGACCTCGATAACCACGAAGAGGACGATGCTTTCCAGAGCTTCCGCCGGGCCCAGGCGCAGAGGGCGCAGATTAGAGAAATGCAGGAACACCGCGACTGGCAGCAACGCATGTCCATCGCCAGCAGAATGGGCGCCAGAGAGGCGTTTGCGCAGAATATCAGGCCCGCTGTCGGCCATCGCCTAGGTGCCGTCCCCGTCGCCCCTGCAGAACCGACCCCTCCTCCTGCTCCGGAGACTCGAGACGAGCAGCGAGCCTGGGGCGCACTCGAGCGCGCCCGCGAGACCGAGACGCCCCCCAACACCCGGAAGCGAAAGTCGAGATCTGTCACGGCTTCCCCGCAGGAGCCCGCACAAGAACCCGAGCGCAAGCTGAAGCGTCCTCGCACTCGCCGGTTGCCTTTGCAGGGAGAGCCATCTACGTCTGCCTCAGCCGCCTCCGGCTCTGCATCCGCTTCTGCCCCAACATCGGCCTCCGCGTCTGCTCCCGTGTCTACGTCCACGTCCGCAACTCCATCTTCGCCCGCGCCGATCGTTGTGCCGGCTTCGAGGCCTCAGACAAATGGCACCGCAAGCGCTGCAGCTCTTCACCCTCAATCCCCCACCGGCACAGAGACAGGTCCATCTTTCCTCTCTTCGCTACTCAAGGAGGTCGAGATGAGCACGCCGTCGGAAGATGAAGCGGCGCGGAATTATTTCGGTACTCGTTCTGGCGTCGACCCCTCGTCACCAGTCACGTCCCCCTCACCATCCTCCCGAAACTCTCCCCGGGCGCTGTCTCTCACACCGCCACCCCACCCCCGGCCTAGTTCCCCAACACTGTCTCTGAGCTCCTACATCGAGCCAAGATTCCCCAAGGCCAACTACTCGCCGACTCGAGCTTCGGGCGATAGCAGCGACTCCGACAGTCGTTCGAACGGCGCTGAAATCCGCCAGCCCCGGCCCCAGCGGCCCATGCGCCACCGACCCAACCTCTCCCGGTCGCAAGACTCATCGCCGACCAGGCATGGCATCACTTTCGAAACCAAGGAGAGAATCAGCAGCATCGTCCGGGCCGCGCTGAACCCGCATTATCGCGCGAAAGAGCTCACATCTGAGCAGTACGCAAACATCAACCGAGACGTTTCTCGAAAGCTATACGAGGGGTTGCGCGACCCTCAGGCCCTCGACGAGGATGCCAGAAAGACATGGGAGAAGATCGCCGCCAAGGAAGTGGCCCGTGCAGTCGAGGAACTGAAGGCTTGATCGAAGTCACGAGTGGCATGGGCATTAGGCGTTCATGGTGTTTGGCAGCGAACCACGCGGTTTGATACCCAACACTTCATCTGAAAGTGGCTTTGAATTTTGTCTCGGCTTCGGACCGAATGCTTTTTTTCGAATAGGGTAGACCCGATCTGTATGCTAGGGGTCTCGCATGACTCGATACTCAACAGTTCCGAGATCGAGAGAAGTTTCCTGTATTGTGTAGATAAATGACGATACGATGAATGGACATAACGACTTTGCTCAATGAGAACTTTCTGTGTGACGAGGTTGGATGTGGCTGGTTGACAGCCCACTAAAATTTGGACACAGTTAGCAGCATCGTAGTACGTGAGCAAAAGAGCAGAGGCAACACGATGACGCTAGGCAGAATTCAAGAGTAGAGTGCGCCTTGTTTTCAGACGTGGCTCATGGAGCCGGGAAATCCTCTCGGAAATCCTCACTCAGGCCCAGCTTGGACCGTTGAGAATGAAAAGATCAGCCGCCAAGAAACAACGTCGCAAGGGGGCTGAAATGTTTGCAGTATCTATCTAACAGTGAATCCCAGTAGAAAAGATGCAGGCGCTGCTAGCGAAAAAGACTGCTTATTTACTCTGGGCACTCGAAAAATGATCCGGACGTTCTGGAGGCGGAACAGGTCTAGACGATAAGGAATGGTGCCGTTGACGAAAAAGAAGAAAGAGAGGAAGAGTCAGCCCGCCGTTTGAGATGATAAAGACTTTTTGCGGTGGATGTCCGCTGCTGACATAATTCGATGTGGATGCCTCGCGTCAGTGCGAGCTCCTCAGGCCAGAGAGCTGGTCGACGGGCATGGACCGTGCGCTTCGGAGCGGGATACCTATCCACCACGAAGCTCGACTGCACTTCGCCCTTAGGTAAGCGGTACGTACCGCAATGCAGCAAAAAAGTTCAATCCATCTGGAGATCTCGACTGAGGCGTTGATGAGGAGACTCAGTACACCCAGACATTCAGCATGGCGGCCTCAAGCAGAGGCGCATTTGCCGTCCTAGGGCTTTTGCGAAGTAAGCCTGCGCTATCGTGCTCTTGACTGGGACCCAATTGACTGACTGCAGACCCCGCAACAGCATCCCCCAGACTCTGCCGACAATGCGCTAGAGTCCAGATCAGAGCTCCCTCGCGAGCGTACTCGGGTGCCGCCGCCGCGGCTGCCACGACGACCCCTCCGAACCCCCCGCCGTCGACCCCGAGCAGCATCCCCCCGGAGCCCAAGGCCGCGACGCCGAGCGGGCCGGGCTACCGCATCAAGTCGGGCGCCATCGTCACGCGGGCGCCCCTCCTCACACGGCCGCTGACGGACTTTGAGCAGGCGTACTTCTTCTACCAGAAGCGCCTCGAGGAGCGGCTTACGCTGCCGTTCATCACGTCCGTCTACTTCAAGCAGGACACGCCGGCGCTCATCGACTGGAACATGAAGGTCAAGGACCGCCAGGGCACCGTGGGCAAGGACGTGGGCGTGTACAACGGCAAGGCGTCCCGCGCGTGGGACGACGAGCTGCTCGTCGGGGACAAGCTGAGCAGGCACGAGACGAGTGTTGAGTTGTTGCTCAAGGACGCCGTGATGCGTGTGAGTGATGATGCGGAGATCATCCCCGAGGAGGACCGGGTGCCGCCCGAGGCGCCGCAGCCGCGAGTGTCGGAGGCGGACAGGAAGGGCGACAAGACGAGGCTGGACCGCGCGATGGACCGGACGCTGTATCTGGTTGTCAAGCGGGACGGCAAGGATGCCAAGTGGGAGTTCCCCGCAGCGGCGCTCAGCACGGAGGAGAACCTCCACGAGGTGGGTTTTTCTTTCTTTCGTCACTCTCTCGCAGCTTCGTGGCTGAGTGAGAAAACATGGGGTCACTGTACTGACTTGGACACGATAGGCTTCCTCGCGCGTTCTCGAGCAGACCGCCGGCGTAAACATGAACACTTGGATGGTCGGCCGGGCGCCGGTGGCGCACCACGTCGTCAAGCCTGTGGCTAAGCAGGACGGCAGCGTCGAGCGCAGGGGCGAGAAGACGTTCTTCCTCAAGTGGCGCATCATGGCCGGGCAGGCGGACCTGGCGAGCAACGCGTACGGGTACAAGGAGTTCCAGTGGCTGACGCGGGAGGAGCTACAGAAGGCTCTGCCGGAGGAGTACTACCGCAGCGTGCGGCTCATGCTGGCTGACAGGTAAAGCGGCCGGTAGAACGATCTAGCCAGGTGAGGAATGAAGAAAGGAAAAAACATGAGTGGATGAAAGGGGAAAAGTGTAACGCTGTTGTATCATAGATGAACTGTACAATCAAATCTTCACTGGATGGATTCGACCGGTTGGGTTGGCTGTCTTGATCTAAACGTGGATTTTCCTGATCATGGCTTATGGTGAGCGAGCAAGGGATCCAGTCAGGTTCGTGCTCTCTTGATGAGCGGATATTGGCGTGAGCTTCATGAAGGTCAACCGGCTGGAGGCACCACGACACTCTCATAGCAGGCTGAGACATCATTAGTTGCTATCACTATGTGTCCCACTACATTTTCTTCATCCAGATTGAATTCTGTCATTCATGTTGTTCAATGAGATTGTGTCTTTGTTTCTGGAGAGCTATGACGAGGAAGCTGGCCACATGAGAGACGCTTTTGGGAAGCAGAGTATGGCGACGCAGAGCACACTCGATTTCTCTATATTCTATTCATTCTTCAGCATTGTGATACGTCGTCCGACGTCTGTATTGGATAAAAGACACCAGCGTTGACTTCAGGGGTTACGAACCAGGTAAATCGCCGAGACAGGTTGTAGGATACTCGAGACCAAGTGAGAGAACCTGAGGTCTATTGAATGTCTCTCCTGCCTCCACCACATTCAAATTGTCTACATATGGTCATCTTGTCATGCTGTTGTTCAGTTGGTGAATAAAAGACAAGCACCAATACCTAACTCAGGGGGTCAGCACCTGGACAGTCTCCTCACCCCGGGAGGAGTGTTGAAACATTGAAGGCCGGACAAAGGACAGTCGGCTTACTGAGCAGCTGCCTTACCTTGTCTGCCTGAGTCTCAAAGTCCCAGGCACCAACCTGAAGCTATCTTCACCTTGTCGCCTGACGACCAGCCCCACCCGCACCTTCCTCCCACGCTCGACGAACCGCCCAACCAGCCACCCACCCCTTATGTACGAAAGTATCACTAGATCTTTCAACAACAGCCCGTGGTCTAGTGGGGTTACTAGGCGCCTCAATTGAGGCGAGTTCTCGAACGTCCCACGCCACGGGTAGGTAGGTTCGAATCCCGCTGTCGACAGTCAGCGGGGTCCTTACTCTGCCGCCGTTAGAAAAACCCATAGCATCGTTACACCTGAGGTTGGTAAGAATCTCCTATGGATTTTCATAAGGCTCTGCCTGAACTTTTTGATTTTTTTTGATCAATGTTTGTTTTGCGATTTTGGGCTCCGGAGTGATAGGCAGGTGTTCTGGAAGAAAACATCTCCAAGCCAGGCCATGCTCAGTCTCGATCTACACCTGCGCGTTGACGACTTCTGAAGTTTACTTAGCTAGACCAACTTCTTCGCTCTCCCCATTATGGTTCTTAACTGATGTTGTCCTTGTTCATAGTGTCGTCACCCCTCCCGGTACGAGAGTTTCTCACATCTGGTCCGCTACTGACGACCCTCCTCCGTTGCCATTTCCTTTTCCTGCAGCCTCCTTACGTCTTGTCAACTTTGAGAGGAACATACTCACTCCCCCTCCCTCCAAAGAAAAAAAAACGGTGTTGTTCTGAGCCACTACTTCCTCACTCCCCTCCCGATTTCCTTGCCCACCTACAAAATCCACCACCACCTTCACTACACCACAATCGTGGGTGCCGTTCACACCCGCAGCCATGGAGATCACCATGGAAAACTTTTGGCGGCAGCTGCCAAGAATATTGATTTCCATCGCAGAGTCGAATTTTATCGCCATCGATGTCGAGATGACCGGCATTGCAGACAAGATGTCGGAGAATTTCTGGAAAAAGACCAACCAAACCCGACAGGGGATTTACGAGACAGGCAAGCGGATCGCGTCAACGTACAACGTCTTTGAGCTGGGTCTCACCTGTGTCAAGCCTGACGGAGGCGAGTACTTTCCTCCATCTCTCGCGACCTCTTGCTGACAAGCCACAGACGATTCGTACAAGACGGAATCTTACAATTTTTATGTCAGCCCTTTACTCCTCGAGGATACTCGCGAAGACAGCCTTTTCGCCAAAGACTTGGGCAGAAACTTGACGGCATCACTCAGCACCCTGAGGTTTATGAGAAAGGAAGGCCTCCAATTGGAGAAGATTTTCGACAACCCTGTCCCGTACTTGAGCCGTAAGGAATCGCGCGACGCAATCGAACGCCTGGAATCCCGAGCGCAGACACAGCCGATCAAGGACCATCCGTACGACGAGGACGAGGAAGGCCTTAATTTTTTCAGCACGTACGTTTTTGACGAGATCACTTCATGGCTCGGCGACCGTAACGACGATGTAAGACCCACGGTTGAGTGTATGGGAATTCTGGCTAATGCTTGTGGTCGTGCAGCGGAAGTCAGAGATCGAGATCCGGATTCCCTATTCGGATAGCAAGAAGAGAAGCAGTGTGTACCACAAGATCGTCCGAGTAACAGCTCAGAATCTGGTTCCGCACATGAAGTGCCGCACCTGGAATCATGGTCTTTCTGTGATTATTTCCCCAGAAGATTCCGACGAGAATCAAGAGGTACGACCCCCCAGAAACGTTGCGATTGTTGATTGGCCCTGTTCTGCGCCCCCTACTGACAATGTCCAGAGGCAGCAAACGTTTCGAGATAACCTTTCCGCCTCAATCAGAAAGCAAACCGGTAGGTCTCATTGACAAGACAGCCGGCAGATGCTGACCATCCCAAGGTCTTCGCCTGATTATGGAGGCCCTTTCCGGAGGGCATTTTGCGGATATCATTGACCCGAGCTACATTATTGAGGCTTTATCATCCTGGCCTGGCGGCATGACGGTACAGAGCTTTTGTCAAGAGGTTCAGCAGAAATTTGGAAACGCGCCGCTTTTGAGTCCGGAGCGAGAGTCCGGTGAGGACAGCGAGGGAGTGGTGTCGACGACACCAGAGCAGGAATCCAGCTACTTCAGCGAAGAATCACCCAATAGCATTGGGAACTCCCTGGAAGAATCAAGAGGCCAACAATCATGGCGACTGCCGGAATCATCGTCGGAGTGGTTTACAAGTTTCCCGCACACGCCTGTGAGTCCCAGCGGGTCTTAGGGAAATCCTGCCGGCTACTCTGAAGAGCGTCACAGCGAGGATTATATCTCGGAAGCAACGCTTTCCGATCAGATCCGGGCCGCTCTCTGGACACTCGAATCCAAGCTCCAGCTCCAGCGCCCACCGATTGTTGGTCACAACCAGTTCTTTGACTTGTTGTTCATTTACCAAACCTTCTTTGACGATCTCCCTGCTTCCTGCGGGGAATTCTTTGCCAACATCTACGAGTTATTTCCCCACATAATCGACACCAAACTCATGGCAATCGCCGATCAGGCGATCGAAGGGGAAGATCCGCTGGCGGATATATTCGACAGACTCATTGGCGATGTTTCCAGGCCGTCTATTGGCTGGGACCCGGCTCATGGGTACAGTCGAAGGGCAAACGCCCATGAAGCAGGCTACGACAGTGCGTCGATACATTCCTACCTTCTACTTTGTAACTGACCTGGCGATAGGCTTCATGACTGCTGTTATCCTTCTGCGACTCGCATATAAACTTGCTCGAAGGACACTCGACAACGTCGACGAGGGTGAGAGCTGGGACAAGAAGATGCGTCGATTGTACGACAAGGGCTGGCTACTAGAGATTGGACGTGACCCCGAATGCTTTGGATCAGACTCAGGATCGGACTTTGAGGAATCGACGGCATCCTCAGACGGCGATGACGAAGAAGTTGGAGAGCTCTACTGGGGTCATTCTGTGTTCGACATGTTCCGCAACACTCTGCGGATCGGCCCCTCCACCAATGTTTTTCTGGAGAGACAGTGGGCAGCCGATCGAGCCTTTCGCCAGGTTCCGCGTCCGAAGTCAGACACGGAAGGATGCAGTATTAGTTCTTGAGACGCGTTAAGTGGAGGAGACGCGTTGTGAGTCGATATATAGCGATGGGCTGTGTAATAAACTGAATTGGTGATGGATGATCCTTGGCTTTCGAGTGACCCCGCCAGGCTGTCGTATCTTACATTTGGCCAATTTGTTTCCTCGAAATGGCTTTCACAAGAATGATCCTTTCTCACCGGCCATTAACCTTCTTCCACGTTTCTGACTTTTTTGATCGCTTTTGCTCAGCTCAGGGGCGGCAGAGGGGTAGAGGACGATTCGGTTGTTCGAACCCGCGGGCCTCGGGATAATCTGGGGAAACAGGGGCACGCGAACTCTAAGTTTGCACGCGTTTGAATGGCATCTGATGGGTCAATTAAAACACAGAGTAATAATAGTTCACTTAAGAAGGCGATGCCGTGGAGGGGGAATCCCAAGTTGGAGGGCAAGATCACGAAGATTTGAAATGACAGGCGGCGGCAGCATGAGACGATCGCTGGAAACGGCTGTTGATCTCCGCGAGTTGAGATGAAGCTCGGCCGGTCGTCGAGGGCAACCCCTGTTTTCTCCGTCTGGGCCTGCGCTCTTCCCCGATCAGGAAGCTACGCCCAATGAGAGGTACGGACGCCGAAGGAAGCCCGCGTGGTCGTGGAGGCTAGAGGGGTACTTCACATGCGAGGCATCCGGTGCGACGTCACTGGGGTGTGCTGAACCAAGACCATGTACTCGCTTATCTCTGCGTTTTTCTGGCTACAGCGAACGACTCAATGTTTCTGGCGGTCAGCTGGCCAGGAACGCCAGGCCGGCGGGCACACACACTCAGGCACTTTGCATGCACTCTGCAGGAGAGCCGGGATGAGCCCACCACACTCGCAGCGAGACACCGCCGCAGAACAAACCGAGGCTAAACTTTGGCCACGGCCGAAAAGTGTAACCGTGCCATGCGCAGCTGCGACCGGTGATTGGCCCAGCGCACTCCATTCCTCCTCAGTCAGCAGACTGCCCCAGCTCCATTCTCCATTCTCCAGCAGAGCAGCAACCAGCAACCCAGCACCACCACCGAGCACCGGCAATCCGAATCTAACCACGACCACATGTCGCGGCTCTCATCACTACCCGCTGGTGGCATTTGAGCAGGAACGCGTATGATGGCCGCCATTCTCCGCACGCCGTATACATAACAAACCCCGTTCTTTTTCTTGGTCTTCCCCTCGTCAATTTCCCTCCCGTCTGGGGCACGTCAATGCCGACAGATTGAATCCGACGCCGCCCTGCCTGTTGCTGCTGTCCATCCTCCAAATGCCATTGCCCGCCAACATGTCGTCCCTCAACGGCTCCTACACGGCGACTCTGAGTCCCACGCTCGCCTCGTCCGAAACCGCATCCGCATTCCCTCCGCACATGCTCTCGAGCTCCATCTCCTCGCTATCCTCATCAACGTCTTCGCGCCACACCTCGCAGATCTCAAAGACTTACCGCCAGGCCTCGACCCTCTTCCTCACGCGTCGCCTGCCCGAGGCCCTATCCACCATCTTGCCATTGATCATACCGACACCGGGACAGTCGGACGGCGCCCCAACAGAGCCCGCGCCCGTCGCGAGGGCGTCTCGATCCACGAGAATCAAGGTCTGGAGCTTGTACCTGACGACGCTCAACGCCATCGTCGAGCTGGAGCCGGACGAGGGAAAGGATGCGTTTGGAAGCCAAGAGTGGCGCTCGCTGTGCACCAAGGTCAGGGACGGAGAAGTGTGGGAGGAGGTCGTCCGCAACGGATACCACGGCGTCGAGAGCGACGTCGATTCCGACGTCGTCATAAACCTGTAAGCAAAATTGTTTATTTGGGTGTCGCCTGATGCTGGATATCATGTGCTAACCGGGACCCTAGCGCCACGCTGCTCTTAGCTCACGCCCGGACGCAGGAATTGAACCAAAAGAGGCTGGAGAGCTATCTCGCTGCCTCAACCTCACCAAATCTGGATCTCTCGCAGAGATTTTCCGACACGCCGTCGCCGTCCCCGCGGCTGAATCACCGGCACAGGTCGCCGGCGAAGGGGACGAGCGGCGCCGACACGCCGAGAGACCTTAATGCGAGGGTAAAGATCCTCGAGCTGTACACGCTGCATGTTTTGCTGCGTAATAATGAGTGGGATTATGCCCGAGAATTCATCAGCGTCAGCTCCGTATTAGACGACGAACGCCGCGAGGCGTTCCTACAAGCATTGCAAAGCTTGCAGGAAGAACAGCAAGAAGCAGAACGGCGCGAAGCCGAAGACAGACGCCAACAGGAAGAGCAACTAAGGCGCGATATTGAGGAGGCCAAGAAACTGAGAGCTGAAAATGAAGAGAGGGAACGCAGGCGATTAGAAGAAGAACGAGCCAGGCGAGAGGGCACCGAGGTGGACTATGGCATCGAAAGGACACCGAGCAGGGCTGGCTCTAGCAAAGCAGGGTCGAGCAAGGGGCGACATGCCAGAGTCGTCTCAAACGCTTCAGGGTCAAATTCAAACCCAAAGATGCCTGTATCACGGGCAAAGGGCAAGTCACCAGCCAACCCGACGTTTGGAAGCAGGGCATCTATGGTCGTGTCTCGGCTGAAGGAGCTCATAGACCAGCTAGGGGCGTCGTTCAAGACAAACCCAATGCTGCTGATGCGGCTCGTGGCTTTTATTTTGGGTTTGGTTGTCATGTTTGGACAGAAGAATGTCCGAGAGCGGATACAGCGCGTGCTTGGTAATGGTTGGAACAAGGTAAAGGCGACAGCGGGAATGGGAGTCAAGGTTAGCTACATATGATTACGACGGACACCGGCTAGCTTTGACTTTCACTGTACTATAAGTATGAATCTGGATGAACGGCCGTAATTGTTGTGGCCTTGGATATTTTTTTTGGTTCAAAAATGGGAGCATTTCAACAAGTTGGCAATTGGCTGTTCCATCATGCAAAGTGGGATATCATTCTTTTCGATCTAAATGGTGAAACCCTCGTGCGTTGTCTCTGATAATCGACGCCCAAACGCCATGTACACAGTGCCATACCCATGTGTCGCAAAATTTTCTTGTTCGTATCCATGCTGCCTCAAGCCGAAAACATAACCGGTGCCCAGACCCGGGCGACGTAGGGACTAGTACGTCGCCGTGCGATTCGTTTTCTTCTGGTAGAACAGGTCGGTTCGCGAGCTTCCGAGGTTGATAATCTTGGGGCAGCCGTCGCGGTCCTTCTCGAGCCGCGTGCACTCGAAGCAGTAGAAGGCGTCCGAGATGCCCTCACCGCCGCAGACGACGCACTTGTTTTGGTAGTTGCCGAAGGAGCACTCGTCGCAGATGCGGACGAGGGTCGTGGGGCGGACGTAGGAATCGCAGACGGGACACTTGCCGTCGCACTTGTCGCAGAGGCGGCCGATGGCGATGCCGGCCTGCTTGCGGCACATGACGAGATCGCTGGAGGAGAACGGTCAATACGCGGTTTGGTCTGGTTTGGGGCGTGAGCTGGACTTACGGATGATGGCGCGACATGGTGGGCGATTAGGCGCCAAAGGTCGCCAGGTGTGCTGCGGTTGAAAGTCGCGGGAGTTGAGAAGCGACTGGGGTGTTGATCGCAAAGTTGCGATACGCTTGCAATGATGGCGATGAAGAGGTGGTCAACACCGTTCAGCCTCGCCACCTCTTCTCGACGTTTCTCCCGCGGTAATTGGTACGGCCGCCGTCTGATCCGTACCGAAGTGGGGTCATTTGCGGGGCGTTCTCTTCTGAGTGGCCAACCCCGCTGACAAACCTCAGCCTTGGAGCTTCACGCAGGAGCTTTTGAGCTTCAATAGGTACCACGGCAAAGTCGCATCTAACATCACCCGGCCGGGACGATACCGAATTTTATTTTACATATTGCAGCATCGTCGCAAACAGTTCAAAAGGCTCTGGAGTCTGCGCGACGTCTATAATGGCGACCCTTACGGAGTACGTCTTCTCAACACTTTTTGGGAAGGAACAACGAGCTGACATGCATGCCAGGGCACCACCCGCCGACGCCATCGATCCCGAGCCGGTCAGCCCCGAAGCCGACGTTTCCCAGAAGCGCAAAGCTGCATCGATATCTGAGGAGCCGGAAGAGACGTCGAAAAGACCGAGAATCGAGGATGACGACCATCGCGACCTGCGCGCGCAAGAGCCCAGAGTCTCGCCAACAGCCACGAGGTCGCGCGATGCGGACGTGGGCGGCAGCGCCGCCCGTCGGGGCAATCTGTCAAAAGAGGAGGAGAAGAAGCGCGGAAAGAGACTATTCGGCGGTTTGCTGAGCACGCTCAGTCAGACCAACACCAGCTCCCAGCACAAGAAGCGCAGGGAGGTCGAGCAGCGACAGCAGGAGAGGGCGCAGAAACAAAGGGCGGAAGACGACAGGAGGCGGGCGGAGAAGCTTGCCAGGATCACCGAGGTGCGCTGGCAAGAGCAGATTAAGTTTGATGAGAAAGTCGTGCGTGGACGGTTCCTCCCTTGCGAGCAGGCGCCCCGGTTTTGCTGATTACCCCCTCACAGATGAAGACGCGGCACTCCAACATGCTTGCGATGGCGCACTCGCTCCGTACAAAGACACAGCCTCAAATCGTATGTTTTCCGTCGGTACTCGTAGGTATCATGCTGACTGATGATGTAGTTCTTCCGGCCATGGAAGCTCACCAGGGAGCAAGAAGACGAGATAGACGATCAGATACAGGACGCCAAGGCGACCATCGCGAGAGAGGTTGAGGTTTTCAACGAGCGAAGAGAAGAGCACGAGCGGCGCTACGGTCGGAGCAGGCCGCCCACGAGACAAGAGCAGTCTGCGCCGGTGACTGCTGAAGCTTCGACAGATGCAACCTCCGCCCCAGAAGTTCCACCAGGGGAAGCTTTAAAAGCCGACACTAACACATTGTCGCACGACACTGAGAGACACGACCGAGAGCCGCACGATGAGTCTGGCGATGTTGTCGAGGACGCCGAGGAGGATATGGTCATATACTAATGAAGGGAGCCGAATGGTCTGTTGCGGCT